AATCACTTAAAATAACTACTACCACCATTCATCAGCTACCTATTTTATTTCTATAATTTGGAGGAAAACAATGAGACTATCAGAATGTCCTAGAGAAAGTTGGGAATTATATGTCAAAATATGCAGTGAAGGTCACTGAGTCCGGGAGCATGTAAATGGCTATCGCTGAAACTGCCTCTTCCTCCATCTTTCTAGGCACAAAGGCCACAATAAGAATTGCATTCAGCATCCTTCTATGAGACAGAGAGCTCTCTTCCAGAATCTCAAAATCACAGTCTTCAGGGAAATAAAGCATATCAACTCCTTCCAGACAGACAATCATGTCATATACAAGCAAGCTAGATCGTCAAGAACATAATTATTCCTTGAACAAACATTAAGCACTGAGCCAATACCAGAATATATCAATGAACAAGAGTAAGTACATCCTTCAAACAGCTTACATTCTAAAAAGACTGACAATAAGTAATATGCATGTAATTATAATTCATGAAAGTTGTATGAAATAAATTCATAGAGAGAAAAGCTGTGCATTTTTGTTACAGGGTACTCTAGAAGTGATCCAGCAAAACTGCTCTGAGATAGGAACACTTTAGCTAAGACCTGAGAGATGAGAATGAGTGCGTCATGTGACATGCCATGTATGAAGGGAAGGACAGAGCTTGGGGTGCTGGATAGTTTTTGTGATGAGAAAGATGTGAGGCGACCCAAAACTAAGCCAGAGCAATAGCAAAGGCCAGGTTGGCAAGATGTCTAGAGAGTAAAATATTTTCCCTCTGTGCAGTGGAATGCCACTGATAGGTTTTAAGTAGGAAAGGACAGGGTAAAAAGATTGCTTTGACTTTAGGGTAGGTCACAGAGTTGAACAAAGATGGAGGTGCTGAGTAGCACAGGTGAGATACGATCGCAGCTCAGGAAGCTGTGCAGGCGTCCAGACCCTGGTTACCGAGGAGCAAATTCAGGCCTCTATAGCCTCTAACCTCAAACAGCAGAAGTACTTGGGAGAAATGGGCTCTTGGGTTCAACTGACTTCCCAAACTTGTTTTAGATACTTGATGTTATTAAGGAGGTTTTCCAGAAGTGAGTGGTTTTGTCTTTTTGTAAAAAGCAGAATAGGAAACATTCATGAATCTTTGATAATTTGGGCCATTCGGAGCTTCTGGAATCTCTTCATTAATATGCTGTAGAATTGGAATTCATGTGTTGGTCTGAAATGCAGGCTCTCAAAGGCAAAAGCACAGACAGTGGCTCTGGTGCCCTCCACTCCCTGCAGTCCCTAATAGTCCTCCCTCAGGTGAGCCACCATAAATAAGAATGCTGTATAAAAACAGTGTACTTGTGACTGCTAAGGAAGAACCACCCCAAATAATCACACACTTTAAATGTATGAGTTTCCAATTCTCCTCTATTGCTGCCCCAAAGATCCTCTTCTATAGAAATCTAAAAACAATCACCAGATTCACAAAGAATCTGATACCAATCCAAATTCTCTTCTATATATACTAGTGTAAGCTTAAAATTATATTACTTTTTTTTCTTCTGCTTCTAGCCAAGGTGGAATGATAGGGACAAGATAAATGTTCCTACTGAAACATTCAAAAATTGAGCAAAATATAAAATAACTCTCAAGATACCAGACATCAGGCATCAAAAGATAATGAGTCCAAAAAAAATTTAAAAAATTAAAAAAAAAAAAGATAATGAGTCCTGAGAGGTAGGAAATAATCAAAATAAGACCTAGCAATTGCACCAGCTTACTGCCTTGAAAGTTTCCAGACCACAGTGTATGAAGAGGGTAGAAACATATATTTATAATGGAGATAGTTTCACAGATACATATGATAAAATGTATGTGTGCAGTTTATTAAAGTCAATTATACCTCTGAAGGGCTGTAAAAACACATTTTGACCATGTAAACTTCTATTCGGGGGCTGCTGGCTTTGATGCCTGTTCCAAAGGAAACATACAAATCTAACCATTGTACATTATTGCATTATAAGATTGTTTGTAAGTTTAAATTCTATAAAGCAAACCAGTGATGTGTTTTCCAGTAGGAAAAAAATTCCTAAACCATTGTTCTGAGCATGAGAAAGGAAATTATAATAATTTAGTTTGAGGAAAACTTGTAGGTCTTCTTGTTCAGTTAGAGAAAATGAAAACCAACAGAAGCAAAGTGAGAAAAATCGCCTTCCCCTCAGCAACCCAAGAACAGCAGCATGCTACATTGTACACCATAGGTTGTGAATGTTCCCAGTTACAAATTCACTTTCCCTGTATACAATTTTGCAGTGCTTTCCTAACATACAGGACTGAAACTTCTAAAATGTGAGCCAAAATAAACCTCTCCTTTAAGTTGCTGGGCATTTTGTCCAAGCAAAGAAAGTCTCAGCAAAGACTAGAGAGATTTTGGTACCAGAGAAATAGGGTTGTTGCTGTGACTGTTACCTGTCTCTGTGGCTCAAAAGCCTTTGGAACTGGTTCATGGGAGGAGCTTGAAAACCTTTGGAGATGCCACTGGAAAAGCCCTAGAATGCTATATGGGGAGCTTGATGAGAGATTCTGGTCAGAGCTTGAAAGAAGGGAATGCTGACTATAAATGCAGCTGGTAAAGACGACACTAAGAGGTTTCGGTTGATATTAGGACCCCATTGGTAGTTAGACTTCAGGCCACATGTGTTAGGCTCTGGCAGGAAATGTGTCTACATTTTGTTCATGTCCTAAGACTTGGTGGGAGGCTAAGATTAAACACAGTGTACTAATTAACCTGGGGGAAGATGTTTTAAGACAGTCCAACATTCAGACAGTGGCATGAGTACTTCTGACAGCTTTTAGGCCATGTTTGTACTGAAAATCAAGCACAAATGGCAGAGCTAAATAATTTTTTAAAAGTGTTGCATTTGGCCAGAAAGGAAACTGTGGAAAAGTTGGGCCTGCAAAGTTGTAGCAAGAAAAGCTGGTTGCTGAAAAGTAGCATTAAGAAGAAGCCAAGCACTTTTCATCAGCAGGATACTCTGTATCTTTGACCAGCTGGCAGGCAAGTCTTAGAACCCTATGCTTCCTTCATCATTCCAGTGTGTAGAAACCCCAGGGTATGAGAGAAATTCACAAGACCCCACCCACTGCAAGCTTAAGGTTGTAAAGCTGTAAAGCTTTCATTTGAAAAAAAAGTACAGAGCTCAGGCACTTGGGGATCAGTCAGCCAGAATGCAAATAGCCCTGATTATTGCTAGAGCCAAGAGTATAGCTTGGCATCATTGACAAGGGGCTTATTTTTCAGACATACAGATACATAGGTGTCTATACAAAATGCATTTGGTCCATCTCCTATGAATCTTTTGGGGACCAGGTACAGAATGTTATGGCTTAGATCTAAAATGTCCCCCAAAGCCTGGTATATCAGAAGGTGATTGGATTATGGAAATGTTACAGCTGACTTATTGTTAGAGGAGAGGTGTGGTCAGAAGAGGCAGGCCACTGTGGGCATAACATATAACGTGGAAGGGTATCTCTCCCCTTCAAGCTTCTCCCTTTGACTCCATGCTTTCCAGCTACCAGGAGGTGAGCAGCCTCCCTCTGCCTGACGTCCACCATGACTCTTACCTGAAGCTGGCCCAGCATGCACGTACTGAAACTTCTAAAACATGATCTTCTTTTAAGTTGAGAGCGTCAGGTATTGTGTCCCAGTGGTTAGACAGTGACTAAGACACATGGATTCCCCCCTTGCTATGATCTCTCTTTTAGGGCCCCCACATTCCTGTACTCTATATCCGTTGACAGGCAGCTTTTAGAATCCTGTTTCCCTCATCTTTCCAATGTGTAGAAACTTGAATGTGCGACAGCATCACAGCACAAGTTATGGAGTGTGGGGGCTTTCTTTTAAATTTCTACCCAGTCCTCTCTTCTTCCATCAAAACTGAAATTTCACCTGCCAGATGAATTTCCCCAAATGAGACCCAGTAGGCCTTCAAGCTTAACCAGTCTAAACCAGTACTTGGACTGATCCACTCATTATCCTTGTTTCTTGCAGGGAATCCCCATGTGCATTTGTTACTCCAGCTTGAAATCCCAGTGGTCTCTGTCTCTCCCATTTTTAGTCTATTGCCAGTCTTATGGATTCTGCCTTTGCAAGGTGTCTGCCATTCATTACTTTTTGTTATCATCACCACCAACCGTTCAGATTCTCAATACTTCCCGTCAATCTTTCAAGAGTTTTCCTAACTCCTATGAAATGAATTGTAACGTCTTCCTTTACCCTAAGACTCTCTACAGTATAGACCAATTTGGCTTTCAGGTTCTGTTGTAAGATGCACTGGATTGCTTACTGCTCCCACTAGACACCACTACCTGTGCCCGAGCTTTCACTGTTCCCTCAACAGGAATGACCACATTTCCACGTGTATCACCTTGCATCTAACCTTTCTCCCAACAACTGAATACACCTTTCACCTTATTAAACATCTTTGACGTGTTACCTCAACTCATTTAGGATACTTACCAAGTTTGTATTCTATTATATTTATCCAAATATTATATATATTGGTTAGAATCAGCTTCTCAGAGCCAAGGATTTAGCTCAGCAGCATAAGTGCCTGCCTGGCAAGCATGACATCATGAGTTTGAATCCCAGTACAAAAAAAGGAAAAATATCAGTTTCTCAAGGACAGGAATTATATCTTATTCAACTTTATATCCATCATAGGGCCTAATATGATGCTTTACACAGACCCGGAGCTTGATAAATGTTTTTAATTCTGTTTTAATCAGTTATTTATTTACATTGCAGCATCTATATATTCCATGGAAGTGAGAAAATTTATATCTCATTACTTTAACTAATTGCTTTTGAATTTAGGAGAAAGTTTTTTATTATTACGTATATAAGATACACAGAAGTCAGTTCAAGGTCATTATTAGATTAAAAGCACAATGAAAAACAAAGTGTATTATGAAACAAGTTTTAGTCAAGAAATCAAAATGATACTGCAAACAACAGTCTCACCTGAACGAGGATTCACTCAGACTTGAAGGCTCCTTATCTCTCCAAAAGATAGGGCAATCATGCTCTTCCTTGACTAAAAAAAAAAAAAAAAGTTGTTTGATCATTAATTAAATAATTTTGTTGAATTTATGAAGAAGATAGGCACATGCACTGATTTGATAACTGATCATAAATCCTTACAAAAACACACAAGTTCAAAATTATAAGCTAGGCGGGGCATGGTGATACGTGTCTGTAATCTCAACACTCAGGAGGCTGAGCAGCAGGAGAATTGCTATGTATTCAAGGCCAGCCTAGGCTAAAGAGAGAGTTCAAGGCCAGTCTGAACACCATAGCAAGATCCTGTCTTTTAAAAAGAAATGCTATGTAAAATTATAAGATGGGCAGCATGATGAAGCAAAAATAACTTTGGTTTTGATATTATAATGTTTGCTCAAGTGTAGATCCTTTCATTAACCACTTGAATGAAATCTACATGTTACTTTATTGTTCAAGCCTCAGTATTTTAATTTGTAAAAATGAGATAATAGTTTTGTGAATAGAAAAACTCAATTGATAACAGTATTGAATAAATGCTAATAAAAATCAAGAAACTGATCGTTATTTACACCAAGAAACTGTCATTTCCTTCTCATGATGTGAGTATATTTTGTTTGTTTATTTAGGAAAATAAATAATAATAGCGCATAATAGTTATCCTGGACAAGAACCAAACTTAACATTTCCAAAAGCTACTACAAGAGGTCAGTATTAGCTGCACATTCCAGCCTCCCGTGGAAACTTAGTAGTTCTCTCTAATCCCCTTGATTCTCTGAAGAAGCGTGCCGAGCCAAGGATACACAAGCCCATCGGCTCAGCGAGGAAGGGAAGAAGCCCTCGCCCCCAAAGAGAACTTCTTCTGGCATTTTTCTGACTCTCTTAGCTATTTCTCTGCTTGGTTCACTTGCTTCCCTTTCTTCCTCCTCTCTTGTTTTTGTTTTTGCTTTGTTTTGTTTTAGAGGATTTTTATCTTTTGAGATAAAATCTACATAAAATGAAAGGGAAAAATCTTAAGTGTACTTCGTTGTTTGACTCTTGTTCTTTGGGGCTGCCCAGTGCAACTCTTTTCTCTTACTTTTGTGTCTACAAGGAGTCTAAAACACCTACACATTTAGAAGGGAATCCCACTCTTTAGAAGCCAAAGACGATGCAGGACAGGGTCTATACGGACATGGCTGGCACTGGTCGAGGCAGTGACCAGTGGTGACCCTCTGGTCACCACAGCCTCCTTGAAGTCTAAAATTGCTTATAAAAATCAGAGACTGCCTGGAGATTTGAAATAAAGGGCTTCACTGAAAAAAAAAATGAAAGTATTCTTGGGGAAGCTACACCTGCAGGTGACTGTGGAAGGTGTCCAGGTGAAGTGCTCGTTGTTGCCTGAAGTTTGTATTCCTCCAAAGTCACTTGTTGGCAGCTAATACTTAATGTGATAGTATTAACAGGTAGAGCCTTGGGGAAGTAAGTAAGCCATAAGATTAGTTCCCTTGTAAAAGGAAACACGCTCATCCCTTCTACCCTTCTGCCACGAGAGGACACTGTCTTTGTCCCTCCCTCAATGTGAAAGTGCCACAAGAGGGCACCATGCTTGAAACACCAAGGATGTTGCAGAAACTGAGTCAGCCAGTGGCCCAGTCTTGGACTTCCCAACCTACAGAACTGTGATCAGTATGTTTCTGTTGTTTATAAATTAACTGATCTAAGGCATTTTGACTTAGCAGCAGAAACAGACTAAAACAGTAGTTTTCTGTCCTCTTGACTTCCCAACACCTCCCTTTTTTGAAGAACTATCCTCTCCCTACAGTTAGCCTGAGAGCCCCCACAAAAGAAAGCCAGAAAGAAAAGAAAAAAGATTTCCATGAAATGAATAATACTCCAAGATTTACTACCCATCACTTGCACAAGTGCTTTCCACTGTTTAACTTTTATGTGCCTTCCTGGATTCTCTAAGAGATCCAAAATCTTTATAACAAATTCCCCTGTACACTAATATAATATATATATATATTCCTACTTTCAAGTTAAGGACCTTAAAGTCACAACTATCACAGTCATTTCTAACAGCAGGCATTTGACAAATGTTGCTACCAGGTGTAATGCAGATAATGTCTTTTATTATTGCTAAAATTGTATAGAACATATTATCACATGTAACCTGTATGTAAGACAGATTTAACCCTATTCCTTGCTTTTGGACCATGTATTACATACAGTCTATGTCTAGGAGGTGAACCTTAGGGCCCCAGGGGTTCAGCAATATAAGAACAGGCAGCTTAGAGAAGAATAGGAAAAACAGAGCACATTACTGTTGGACTATTAAAAAGGGGGAAGATAGCACTGAGGCGTATCTCTTGGGAAGCTGGCATTATCTAAAAAATCTATATCTAGTTTTAAGTTTTCACTTAAGCCTGATTTCATCCAGGTTCACTAACCAAACTTGATCTCTCTTTTTTGTGTGAGGTCATTAAAAATACATAACAATTTAATGTCCATGTCCATGTCCATGTCCCTGTCTCTTTTTGTTAGCTTTAAGTTTTCATTTGCAACGGTGGAACAGAGAATTTTAGGAATATCTGTGTTCTCCACAAGCACAGTTCAACTTGTGCTTCTATACTTGGTGAAATGTCTGTTTTTGGAGGCATTCCTGCCAGAACCTGGCAGGGAAAAGCAAGCGTGACAAAACAGCCTAAAGATGGAGTTATCTCCCATGTAATTCTTAAGGCGCATGTGGTAGTTCATATTCTTCTTCAGTGGTTTGGCTGTGAAGTCCTCAGTTAGCGTTATGCATGTTTGACAGAATGTTTAGCAGTGCTAGCCAGCTGAAGAATGCTTTCTAAAAGAGATACAGATATATTAAAAACAATATATCTGTTTCCTCAATTGCAGAAAGTTTATTATATTTGTCACTCCTATAGGGAAACTTTTATGCTTCCCTCTATAAAAACTACCCACTAATCCTTAGAGATTCATTAGTGTCATGTTGTTTTAGTTTTAGGATTATCCCTGCAACATTGATATTGGGAAATGTCCTAGGTTTAAGATAGATAGATAGATAGATAGATAGATAGATAATCTCTGATTGAGTTTATTACATTATGTCTCATTCTTTGAGGATTAATCTATTTTACTTATGCCAACACAGTTTTTCAAAATATACCACTCGACCTTTAAGGCTGCATCTGTGATTCACAGCTTCAATGAATATTTAGTATCCACTAGCCACATGTAGCATTTCAAGTTTACTAAGTTAAATTAAAATTCAATTACATTTCAAGTGCTCAGTGGCCACAGGTAGCAGTACTAAACACAGACTAGATCTAAAACATTTCCATCATTGTAGAAGGTCCTATTGCAATGTTATCCTACCATGTACCAGAACCTAAGTAACTAATAATCCAATCTATTGAAGAGTTTTAGCTACTAATACATTTCACCACCATCACCTCTGCATTCTGAGAATCTGCTACAGTTTGGATATGGAATTTCTCCCAAAGACTCCTATGTAAAAGGCTTGGCCCCGTTCTGTGGCACTATTGAGAGGTGGTAAAACCTTCAAAAGTGGAACTGGGTGTGGTGGTGCTTTCAGAATTTTGGAGACTGAAACAGGAGGATCACCTGGGTTCGAGGCCAGTTTGGGCTACAAAGTCAGTTCAAGGACAGTCTGAGTAAGACCTTGTCTCACAAGGAAACAAACAAGCAAACAAACAAAAAAGTGAGGCCAAGCGGGAGAAGTTAGGTCATTGGGACTGCGCCCTTGAGGGGACATGGGGACCCCAGCCTTCCTGTCTTTCTCTTTGCCTCTTAACCCCCATGAAGTAAGCAGCTTGCCATGCCATGAGCTCCCTTCCATAACAATGCGGCTTTGCCACAAGCCCAAAAGCAGCAGGACTAACCAACGATGGACTGAAACATCCAAAAATGTGGGCCAAAATGAACTTTTCCTCTTAAATTGGTTTATCACAGATTTATTTGTTATAGTAAAAGGAAGCTGTCTAACAATTTAATAAGTATCATCTTCCAGCTAAATGTAAAAACTGTAAGGATAGCCTTAAAAAAGACACATATACACTATGGAGAAAAAAATTTCTCAATCTCTAGCAAAGTTGGGCCTAGCTAGGATAATTTAAACTAGGTATTTTTACTATGAGTGATTTGCAATTTTAATTTTCCTTCATTTAGATGATTGAGTTGACTGAAGTGTGGACAACTTTGCCACACTGTAAAAAATATTCCCCAGGCTTTCTCCCAAGAGATTTGGAGTCAGTCCTAATAATTATCTATATTTAAATGCTCAGTAGTTGATGCTTTTGCTAGGCATGATATCATCGATAGCATTCTAGATTTTATTAATGACTACTGATAAGTAGATAGTCAGACAGGTTTGAGCCTAACTCCTTCTGAATCACACATTGCTGATTGTCTAGGAGGTGAGATACAGAGCCCCATATGTCACATATCTAACCCAGGGAACAACTGGCTTGGAGACCAGAAAATACAGAGGACATCACAGTTAGCATGATGGAAAAGGAGTATGTCTTTATCCTGTAATGTAGGCTGTGCTCCTTGTGACAGACAGCAGCAGCTTTGTGTTTCAACAACCCGTGCACAGAAGTGTCAGACCTTTGGGGATGAAAGTAAAGAAAAGGTGGCAGAAAGTGTAATTCTATCAATAACCACGTGTACGTACACAGGATAAACTCTTTTACTGCTTTAACATCATTTGCAAAGTTTCTGGGGATATATATTTCATAAAATTTCCACCATTTTTACTACATTTTTAGATGTGTTTTCATGTTTCTTTATATGTTGAAAAAAACAAGGATAATTATGCCTGTGGACAAAGATAAATATGCATTTAAGGCAACCAACACCAGTTAGATGCCCTAATTAGTCTGACAAGAGACCTGGTGAGCAACCAGGGATTTAATAAGTCTGCTAATGACAACTTCTACTAACAGTTTCCATGCTGCAGCATGGAAAGGTAATTGTCAATGAAAGTATGCAAACACTATAGAATTTTTCTCATATTTCATAACTGTATAATAGTTTGAGAGGCTGAGTCTGGCTTGCAGTGGAGGTAAATGGAGAGGTTTGGGCTATCTGGTTATATTGCCTGGAGCCGGAAGTAAAAGGGCTTATGCATGGACCACCCTGGATCTTCGTTCTCCCCTTTGCCTTCTACGATAAGGGTGCAGTCTCAATAGTAAGTCAGCAGTCCTAGCTGTGTATACAACCCTGCCCACAGTAACTCTTGAAGATAGTCACCGAGATGAAGAAACGGAGGCTTCCACAGGTTAAGAGACGTGCAGAAGGTCACACAGCCAGGAAATGTGGGGCTGGTTCAAAGTTGATGCTCTTTTCTACTTTTTTCTTTTTCTTTTTACCATTTTCCAATTATAGGGTAGTTCCTTAAAGGACTCATATTTCTATACAGGTCTAACCACATCTACATGTCTTTATTTCTACCTCTGTATATTTCTGAGATTTTTTTTTTTTTTTTCCGCACAACAGCCCTGATACCAAAGTTGTAGGAGTTTTACTCTACACAAAAACCAATTCTTCAGTTCTCTAGATACCAACTGGCTGTCCTGCAATTCAATTCAGTAGTGACGTTAGCTAGCACAGGTCCCCACAGGTCAAGGCGTCCCCTCCCCCCTCTCTTCTTTCTGATCTTTCACTTGTCCTTGCTTCCTTTTTTCCTCCCTCTCCCTTCCTTCTCACCTTCACTTTAGTTTCCTCGCTCCATCACTTTTTCCTTCACTCCTTTTCTCCCTTTCTTTACTTCATTTTCTTCCTTCCCACGGACCCTTTGCTTTTTTGCAGATTTTGCCCAGGTGCTGCACTACTGAACGATCAGCTCATCTCACTGTAAAGAACGTGACTCTTTTTTTTTTTTTTTTTTTAACTTCATAAAGAAACTGGTTTTTTAAAACTGTCATTTTAAGAAATATAATACAGTTAAAATTGGATGTTTCTTTCACCATGAAGTAAACTAAAGTTGAAATGGATCAAAGATCTTAATATTAAAACAGAAACATTAAATCTGCTGGAAGATAGAATAGGTAAGTGAAGACACTGGAGTAGGAAGGAAAGACTTTATGAACAAAACCCCAACCATATAAGATCTACCACAAAGAATCAGCCACTAGGATCTCATTTTATTAAAAAGCTTCTGCACAGCAAGAGAAACCACCAACAATATAACAGCTGTTTGCCAGCTATTCAAACAAATATTCAAGAACACATAAAGAAGTCAAAAAAAATCAGACTCCCAGATTTAAAGACCTAATCCAAAAATAGGCATCTGAGATGACTTACACACTCCTCAGATAAAGAAGTACAAACAGAAAATAAATATATGAGAAAAATTTTCAACATCACTGATCGTTTGAAAGGTGCAAATTACAACAACACTGAGTTTCCACCTCAACCCAGAAGAATGGCTATTATCAGGAATCAACAAATGCTGGCAGGACTGTGGGGAAAAAGGAACCCTGCTCCACTGTTGGTGGGAGTGTAGACTAGTGCAACCACTGTGGAAATCACTGGGGAGATTACTCAAAAAACTAGAACTAGAGGTTCTATTTGACGCAGCCATTCTCCTGCCTGAGCATTTTCTCAAAAGAATTAAAAGCATCATACAACAGTGATATATGCACACCCATGTTAATAGCAACACAGTTGGCAATAGACAAATCTTGGATACAACCCAAGTGTCCACCAACTGGTGAATAGATAAAGATGTAGTTTTTTTAATGTAGTGGAGTAGTACTCAACCACAAAAGATACACTCAAAACATTTCTTGGAAAACTTATGCACCTTGAGAGTCTTAAGTGAAATAAATCAGACATACATATATAATTATCACACTGCTTATCTGGTGTGAGAAACCAAATAGGACCAAATGTATACCAGGCATTGTGAAATAGGAAGAGAATGTTCAAATGGGAAGGGAAACAACAGAGAGGGGAAGGGGAAAGGGAAGAATGGAAAAGTGACATAAAATGAGTAGAAAAGGAAAACATGGAAATAAGCTTTTGTAAATGGGGAGAGTGGAAGGGGTTAGAGGGTAGCGAAATGGGGAAAAATCAAGTTATATCATGCACAGGCATAAATTCTCTATGATGAAAGTGATCAGTATGTAAAATGTATCAATAAAACCTGGTTTAAAAAGAAATATGGTAGACATCCTTTTAGGAGAGGGAGAGAAGGGTAAAGAACATAAAAAGAGTTAGGATGTAATATACACATAAAAAGAATTAAGATGTGATGATTGCTATTATGTACTAATAAAAAATAAAGAGCTGGGCATGGTGGTGCTCGCCTGTAATCCCAGCACTCGGAGGCTGAGGCAGGAGGACTGTTGCAAGTTCGAAACCAGCCTAGGCTACAAAAATGAGTTCAAGGTCAGCCTGCACTGCATAGAGCCCTTGTTTCGAAAAGACTTAAACAATTAGATTAAAGAAAAGCTACGTACACATCTGATAAATGTTACATACCATTTTGATTGCTAGCATTGCTGCGATGAAATGGAAAAAGGAATTTCCTGACAGCTCTTGATTTTCCACACTTTTTTTTCAAACCAGTTGAAGAGTAGATGATACGAATGTGTTGGTTGATTTCTCTGTCTGATGAACTCAAAAATTCTGGGTAGTCATCAACCTGAAAGAAAATTAACTGAGCTTACTGAAGACAAATATGACTACTTACCCAGTTGGGATTAATAATTCCCCATCACTAAGTCAAGTTTAAACTATATTTTTGTCTTTTCATATGCTCCACTGGAATGTCTTTATTCTTAGGTTTCCCTATTCTTCCTTCATCCATTTTAGTTTTCACTAAAAATGTGCTTAGCAACACTTAGGAATCGGAAGCAGGAAGGTGGTGAGTTGCAGACTAGACTGGTTTACATAGCAAGTCTAAGGCTACACTTGACTAGTTAGGGAAATTTCATCTTTAAACACACACACACACACACACACACACACACACACACACACACACGCGCGCGCCAAAAATTAAAAATGTGCTCAATAACAAAACTCAAGAAACTATTTATACTATAGGGTTACTAACTAAATAGTAACAGTGTTTGTATGCATTAAAATATATTACTCGTCACTTTCATCTTGCAAATGGATTTTTTTTTTATTTTAAAGACAATAAAACCAAACAAAATAAAGCAGAATGAAGCTAATCAGAAGAGAACAATAAAAGTGATACAGGGCCTCAAAAAGATAATAGGAAGAACAATGGCTACCATAATGTGTCTTTGTTTTCTTCAAAATAGTCATCCATACCATCAAACGTAGTAAAATCAAACAAAACAAGACAGAATAAAACCAAATCTAACAAAACTATGAAAATTATACAAGAATTCAAAACAAGATAGTAGAAAATTAACGATTTTTACCACCTTCCCTGTTTAGATATTTCCTACTCTATCACTATCACAGTATCTATTGTACATTTTTGATTCCACTAACTCTTAGTTTTTATGCTAGGGAGGTAGCACAGTGTTTACCCATGTGAGTCTGAAATATTTCACCCATGAGCGTGATCTCAAGTTGCATCCATTTATCAACAAGAGCCTCAAGATTATCCTTCTTTATAGCTGAGAAGCTTTCCATTGTATGAAAATACCATATCTTTCTTATCCATTCTGTGGCCAGTGGTGAAGCTACCCCCCTGCTTTTTTCTGGTTTCCTGTCACATGAAAAAATTGTTTTCTCTCTTTTGATTTTCAGTCTATGAATTCCCTTTAAGTTAAATGTGTTTCCTGTATACAGCATATTGATGGATCATGTTTCTTGATCCACTCTTCCTGGGTTTCTTTTTATTGGTGAATTGAGGCCATCTACACTAATGGTTACAACCAGCATACACCAGATCATCTCTGTCATGCTGTCCTGCTGTTGGCCTCTCACTTTTCCCCTCCATTCAATTGCCTGCTCTGTTTATTGATGCCCCTCTGTTCTGTTCCTGAAAATGTGGTCATTTTTATCTCTCTTATCTGTTAGCCCTCTCTGTAGGGTTGGTTTGGGAGTCAGGAATTCCTTCAGTTGTTCTTTGTCATAGAAGTATCTTATTTTTCCATCAATGCTGAAAGATAGTTTTCCAGGGTATATCAATCTGGGTTGGAAATTATTTTTCTTCTAGATTTGAAACACTTGACTCAAGTTCTTATTCACTTGATGGTTTGTGTTGAGAAGTCTGCCATGATACTGGCCAGTCATCTGTTTGTTTTCTGTAACAGCCTTTTATATTCTGTTCTTGTGCTGAACTTCTGGAATCTTGATTGTTATATGTCTGGGTATAGATTATTCTGGTTATGGCTAGTTGGAGTTGTGCATACCTCACATATCTGTATGCCAGGTGCTTTTCCCATGCTTAGGAAGTTCTCTGGTATCACTTCTGTAAATAAGCTTTTTATGTCATTTGTGTTTACTCCTTTTTCTGCTGACAACTATCACTCTTATTTTTCTTTGTGTCATCTTACAGCCACTGAATTGTTATTTCCTGGTTCCTTATTATTTTTAATAGATCTTCCTAGCACTCAGGAGGCCGAGGCAAGAGGATCATTGCAAGTTTGAGACCAATCTGGACCTCAAAGAGAACTCAAGTCAACCTGAACTGTATAGCAAGACTCAGTCTCAAAAAAACAACAAAAAAACCTTTCCTTTCATGATTTCTTCCTTCAATCCTGTCTTTAGGGTCTGAAAGTCGATCTTCAGTCTCATTCAAGTGGGTTTTGCCAGATTTTGATAGATTTTTTTTTATTTAAAGAGGAAAAAAAGAAAGGACATGAAGAAACAAAGCAGTAAAAGAGTACAAGTAATAGAGAATTTCAAGAAAAAAAATATACAGTAAGAAATCACCAGTTAATAGGTTACATATTATCTTCCCAGAAAGTTGTCCAAATTACAAAATTAAAGCATATAAAGTGGACATTCATACAGTAACAGTAGGCAGTTCCATTCAGTGATCCAACAAAAGCTCAGTAATATGGTTTTCCATCCTACACACTCGAATATATCTGTGGTTATATCCCTTAGTCCACCTTTCTTTCGTCTCTTTTTTACAATAACAATTAGACTTTTTGGGTTTTATTACTCCCATGGTTCTTATTACTTTTTTTGAAGAGAATAAAACCAAACGTGACTAAGCAAAACAGAGTCAGTTAGAACAGAAGGGTGGGCATAGCACGTGATGCAAAAATAGAATACCAGGTGATCAAAAGTGGTTACCATTGTGCCTCTTGCTATTTTTAAGTTGAGTTGCCTATATCATCAGGTATAATAGAATTGATCAAAACAGTACAATAAAAGACCAATAAAACCTACACTGGAGACCTTACAGAACTTCAAAAAAAGGATAATAGTCAATCCATATTGGGCATCATAGTATATCTTATTGCCTTCAGAGTGGTTGCCTATACCCTCAAACTTGATACTACCAAACAAAATAGAATATAGAATAATCAGACAGAACAAAATGGGGAAGAGCAATACTGGGGTTCAAAGCAGGTTAATAGGAAAACAAAAAAGTTACTATAATATGTCCTGCTATTTTTTAATTTAGTTTTTCCTTAATTAAAAAAATGAGAGAAAATAGATTAATTTTTAAAAAAAGGGGGGGAGATTGAGATAAGAGAGGACATTGTAACAGAACAATGCAGGGCAGAACCGAACCATTCAAGTATCATTGTGTTTCACCACCAGATAATCTAACATAATAGTAGTCGCCATAGTTCCTCTTTCCTTGAATTATTTGAGTGTAACTTCGTATGCTATAACATCAAGCATATCAAGACAGTGTGAAGCCATTCAAGAGAATGCAAGAATTACAGGGTATTTAGAACCAGCTAATAGAAAACGTACAACCGTTTCTATATTATCTCTTTGCCTATAAAGAATTTGGTTTATACTATAGCATATAGTGAAATATAGTAAGATACAGCATGTTAAAACCAGTGGAAACAGATGTAACACAGCTTGATGGGACTTCAAAACAAGATGATATTAAATCAGCACTAGATTTTATGTTGTATTGTTTTCTTGAAAATAGCTATTCATACTATCACAGATACTAAAATTGAACAACCCAGGTTAAAACCATTGCAATTAATGAGTGAAAACATTATATGGCTTCAAACCAATATGATTGGGAATCATGATTACCACATACTTTTATGTATTCTTACCATTTCTTACACTAGGGAAACTATTCGGTATTTATACATGTGAGTTTGATTTTTTTCACTTATGAGTATGGTCTCAAGCTGCATCCATTTATTTATAAATGTCTCAATGTGATCATTCTTTATAGCTGAGTAGTACTCCCTTGTATAAAAATACCACAACTTTTTTATCCATTCTTCAGTTGATGGACACTTAGGTTGTTTCCAAGATCTGGCTATTACAAATTGTGCTGCTATAAACATGGGTGCACATATATCACTGTGGTACGATGCTTTCAGTTCTTCTGGGAACATGCCTAGAAGTGGTACAGCAGGGTCAAATGGGGCTTCCAGTCCCAGTTTTTTGAGAAATCTCCAGACTGATCTCCACAATGGCTGCACTAGTCTACACTCCCACCAACAGTGCAGGAGAGTTCCTTTTCCCCCACAGCCTCTCCAGCATTTGTTGTTGGTGGTTTTCTTGATCTTGCCATTCTTCCAGGAGTGAGATGAAATCTCAGTGTGGTTTTAATTTGCATTTCTCTAATGACTAATGATGAACATTTTTTCATATATTTATTTGCCATTTGTATTTCTTCATCTGAAAATTGTTTATTTATCTCAGATGCCCACTTTTGGATTGGGTCTTTGAATTTTGGGGGTCTGATTTTTTTTAATTCTTTATATGTTTTAGACAGAAGTCCTTTGTCTGAGGGGCAGTTCACTAAGATTTTTTCCCAGTTTGTGGGTTTTCTTTTCACTATGCTGGAGATTTCTTTTGACGTGCAGAAACTTTTTAATAAGAGGTGGTCCCAGTTATTGACTCTGGGTTTGAGTCCTGTTCATAAATTCTCTACCTACTCCTATGTCTTCAAGGTTTTTACCCAATTTGTCTCCAATAGATTTAGTGTTTCTGTTTTAATATTTAGATCTTTGATCCATTTAGATTTTATTTTAGTACATGGTGATAGGCATGGGTCTAGTTTTAGTTTTTAGCATATGGAGAGCTAGTTTTTCCAGCACCATTTATTAAAGAGACTGTCGTTCTCCCAGTGAACATGGTTGGCCCCTTTTTCGAAGATAAGGTGGTTGAGTGTGTTTGTAGTTGTGGTTGTATCTTCTAATCTATTCCACTGATCTTCAGCTCTGTTTTGGTTCCAGTACCATGTTGATTTTACTACAGTTGTTTTGTAGTATAACTTCAAGTCAGGGATTGTAATACCTCCTGCCTTGCCTTTGCTGCTTAGAACTGTCCTTGCTATTCTAGGTCTCTTCTCGCTCCAGATGAATTTTAGGAGTGATTTCTTGAGTTCTATGAGGTATTTGATGGATTTTTAAATTTGCTGGGTATCTCTGAATCAGTTTCATGCATTGTAATTCCTTCCTATATTGTTCATTCAAGGTTTCCAACATTTTCCTATGCTCTTTTTATCTATCTTTTTTATTTAGATATGCTCAGCAATTTTTTCACTATGTTTGTGATTTCTTCTTTTACTGGAAATATTATTTCTGTTTGATTACTTTGCAGCCTCATGAAGTTGTTTCTTTGCTTCAGTTACTCTTCTTTCAGAGATCTCAGGTAAGTGACTTCCATTTTCCTCTTTGTCTATGTCTCCCAGGCTTGTTTTGTGTAGGCTGGAGGTCTGAGATTATCTTTTGTTCCTTTATCTTGACATTTTCCTGGGTTCCTTCTGACAAGTGAGTTGTGGGGTCCCAGGCACTTTCCATATTGGCTGCCACTCCTTGGTACAGGAGAATGGGCCATACACCTGGGTTTCTCCAAACCTGGGTTCTCAGGGGGAATTGGGGAATGGAGAGGGCTTCTCTAGACCCATGTATCTATGTGAGGCTTCCCTGATGGCCATAGGTGCATGGTGACAGGGCTACCTCTCTCAGCTTGTGTGGCTACACTGGGACTCCTCCAGTGGTAGCAGGCACACAGGGGCATGTTTGTGTGATTTTTCCCAGCCCACGGTGGCTGCCTGCAGGAAGCAAGCTTCTCCCATGGCATCCTGCAGATGCGTAAGGGTATCTGGCTGTTTGTCCCTACCTATGCTGGTTATCTGAGGGAAGAAAACATCCCAATGGTGGCAGATGCGCAGGAGCCTGTCTGCTGATGCTCCTTACTTGCACTGGGTTGCCCACGGGTGGCCTGGATTCTGCTTTTTTTAAAAAGTCTCAAAAAAAATACAATTAATTGGGTTTAAACTAGGAATTTTCTATGCAGACAACAAAATCTTTTAATAGTCCACAGAGATTATAAGTACAAACATTTATATTTAAACTATTAAAAATGTGTTCTGCTTTCTCCAAAGTGCTCTATTTTCTATTCTTGATGTGAAATAAAAAATATATTAATAAATACTGAGTTTTAGGTCTTCTCTTCAATAACTTGCTTCCCTTTTATGATGGTTTTGATAATATCTGATAATTATATAAATTCAGAGACTTACTATAAGCATATATAAAACCATTCAAGAATCAGAAGGAATTCCACTATAGATTTTTTTCAAGAACTTAAAGAAAAATATTTCCCATGTGCAGTTTCATCTTTCTCTTGTTACAAAATATAAGAAAATATTAAATAACAAAAAATGTAAAAGCCCAATTTAGAGTAATTGAAGATTATAGATCAATGATAAGCTATCAGTATCTAATCAAATTCAATTTATAAAAATTATTTTGAGTAGAACAGTTGCCCAGCATGTGTGAAGCCCTGAGTTTGATTAATAGTATTTTTTTTAGAAAGGATGATGTGTGACTATTGTGGAATAAAATGGAAAGTACATAGTACCTGCTGTGAGCATTTTTGTGCTGCAAAAGTGGAATTCACTTTCCACCAGCCTGATTTATAGTGAATAGCACGGACAGAAAAGTATAAAAAGGGCCCAACAGAAATCAAGCAAATTCAGAATGTGGAAAATTTCTAGGACAAGTTACTAGATGTTATGGCTTGTATCTAGATGTCCTCCCAAAGCCTCATGTGGTGATAGGTGGGGCTTTTCAGAGGAGGCTGGATCTAGGGTGTGTGCTGCTGGGATCAAGGATGTGATGCTGGGGTTGGTTCATGGTGTGATGCTAGGATTAAGGTTTCCCTAAACTGATTGTGAGTACTATTCACCCTAAAGGTGGTAGCCTGGATAAGACATAAGGGACAGAAAGAGGGTTGCTGTTTCTTATTTGTCCCTTGTGGCTTACTGCTTGCTGCCCTCTGCCTGCCATGAACTCTTTCTTTGTGATGCCCCTCTGCCATGCCACCCTGTCTTGGAGCCAGTCAACTATAAACCAAAACCTCTACAAAGTGTGAACCATGTAAGTATTTCCCCTTTTAACTTTGGGTGTTGGATATTTTGTCTCAGCAACAAAAGTAACTAATGGACTCCAGGTTTCTCTAGAAAATAATGTCAGGTATAAAGGGAAAGGAAGAACTACTGTAGATTAAAAGGGAATTAAGAAAGAGATCAGCCAATAAAGTTCAAGCATTTTTTGGATCTTGATTTTAATAAATCCTCTTATGAAAGACATTTCTGAGCAAGTTGGGGATATTTGAACTGAGTATTTCATGTTATTAAAGTATTGTTGATTTTTAGGTGGTATTACTAATGGCTCTACTTTTTTTTTCTTAAGATATGTATCAGAACTCTTTTAAGATAGTCCTCTAGTGGAAAAATACATGCACGATAGGTAAAACATGGTCAGCTATCTGTTCATAATTACTGAAACTGATGATGGGTATTTGGAAGTTCATTATACTCTTCAGTTTAGGTTTTTTAGATTTGGGATGTTCCACAAGAAAAAGTTAATAAAATATAGGGATAACAATCAAGTGCAATGTGTACTTCCTATTTAAGTCTTAGTTAGAACAAACTGTAGAAGAAATCCTGAAACAGAAAGCTTAAATAGCCTTCCTAGAAACAGGGTACTGCTAGATCCTGCTGATTTGTATTTAGACACATTTTAGAGAACTTATCAAGCACATGTTAGTTTCTCCTTTTGGAATAAATTTTCACTTTTTCTCTGTCTGGAAAGTTCCATTCATTCTTCAATATCAAGCTTTTTTATTTCCTCCATGGAACTTCACCTGTGTCATTCCTTTGACAGAATATGTCACTCTCTTTTTCAGGTTCCTACAATAATCTTGTTACATCTATTTTCACATTTTATTATAATTATCTGCTTATAACTGTTTTTCTTTCTCATTTTCTTGTTTCCCTTTCTAAATTGTTTCTTAAAAAACACTATTTTTGATCCATTTTTATATTTTTAGTTCCTGGTAATCAAAACATTGATGAAACATCTCATATAAAATCTATTATCCATTCAGTACAAGTGTACAGGGTAGAGAAAAGTCTGTAGGTCTTCTGCATTTGGAGATTGGCTTGCTTAATGGGCTACTAAGTGATAGAAGTAAGGTCAAACAAAAGCTAAATAGACATCTTCCGACTTCCACGGTCCTTTCACGATTTAATGTCCTTCATGCACAATAAGCTTTAACTCTAGTCTCCAGTAAAGGAAGAAAAGCAAGTGAGTAATTAATTACTTGAGCTGGATTTACATTCCAGCACAAATGTTTTCTGATTATGTTTTTAGTGTAAATTAGTTACTTCTTCCAAGAGTATTTGTAAGAGACTACAATGGAAGACCAATAGCAAACCCAGATAATTGAATACCCTGATAAGAGTGGCCAATATCTGGAGGTATTTTGAGTGGATCTTTTTGAAATTAAACTACATTAGCAATTGCCTTTAACACATTGCGCATAAGCTTAATCCTAAGTAGAAGCTACTTTTACATTTAGAACTTGGGAAATCCTTAAATTGTCATAATTTAAAAACTCATTGTAGTTTCCACAGGTGGTTTTTCCCATTATACTTTATCTGAGATTTAGTATACCTTTCCCTAAGGAAGTTTGCATAGATGAGTTGTTTTTAGAATCTATGGATATTGCTGGCTTGAAGTGATCCACCCACACATTAAAAAAGGAATTAACACCTAAGAATTAGGTTATACTATCGAAATATTGAAGCTCCCCTAGACTATTTCAATGTATGACTTAAAAAATCATTTTCTCAGGGCCTGTAACCACAGTCCAGTCTTGGAGTTGTGAGAAGAGTCCAAATCTCACCTGGGCCTTTTGATGCCCTTGAACCTCCTACTAGTTTCAGCCTTAAAAGACAACAATATTCACTGCAGAGTAATATTGTGGAGTGAAAAAGGCTCCTTGTTTCTAAGTTCATCTCTTCCTCCCGTGACAACCTATGCCTAGGAACCGTATAATTCACTTACTCGGGTCTCTATTGCAAAACCTAAAACCTCCTAAGGAAATAGCACAAATTTACAGCAAATCAGTTGTTTTTAGATGCAATGTGACCCTTAATCCTGATATGGCCATTTCCTTGGGTTAAGAAACACCTAGCAGGTACACACAGCATGGTCCTGGATATGTCTAGGTGAGTCTATATGGGATCTCTAGCCCCTTCCTCTCTGGCACTCTTCTGCTGTGCTTCCTGCCTATCATGAAGTAAGCAACTTTGCTCTGCTGTGCCCTTCTGCTGTGATGTTCCTTCCTTGGAGCCATCTGAGCATGAACTAAAACCACAAACTAAATCAAACTTCTTCTCTAATAAACTGCAGGTACCCCACATTGTGTCCAAAGGTGGAAAAGCTAACACATGCATAGCAGCTTTAAAATGTTTCACTTTGAGGTCAAAAGGCATGGATTGACATTCCAGCTCAGATGTATTCTGAATATGTGACCTTATGCAAATATTTACCACTTTTTTGCCTCAGTTTCCTTTTCTGTAAAAGACAACATTATCTTCCTTATAAAGTTCATAAGATTAAGTGAAGTAATCTATTTAAAATGTTCACCCAAGGCTGACACATAGTATATTGTCAATCAGTATTGGTCATTATTAAGGACTGCTATGGTTTAGATTGAGAATATCCCCCCAAATCCTCAAGCACTCAGAAGTAAGCTTTTGGAAGTGGAACTTTTAGATCATGGGGACTCTGGATTTATCAATGGAAGGAAGGGGCCAGTCTGAAGTGGTAGTCACTGGGGCCTGACCTGGAAAAGTTTATTTCACTCTTGGCCCACTCCTGCATTCTTGCTCACTGGCTGCCATCATGTGAGCAGCTTTCCTCTACCCAGGTCCTTCTCCCAGGCCACTTCTGCCTTGGAGCAACCAGCTGTGGACTGCAACTTTAAGCTGAAAAAAACTTCTCCTTTATATTGTGCTGGGAATTCCCTATGATGAATGTGATCATTATGTATATTGAAATTATACCAATAAACTTAATTTTTTAAAAAGTTGTGGCTGTTCGACACTGTGTCTGACCCACAAAAAAACAACTAAGACAATGAGCACTGATTTTTCGTAAGCATTTCAGTAAAACTGGGAATGGCGATTCATGCCTGTAATCCCAGCACTCGGGAGGCTGGAGGATCGAGTTCAAAGCCCCAAAACCAAATCTGTCTCAAAAAACCAACAACTAAAACCAAAGCAAACCAATACAAAACAAAAACAAAGAACTTCAGTAATAAAACACAGACCCACATTTATGCTCCACTTAATC